GCTTTCTCCTTCCAACTTTATTACTTTTTTGTATTGAAATGACGTCTTGTAAGAAAATTGCTTCTATTCTTGAGATTCCATCAGGGAAACAATTACTAAAACATGCAACACACTTGCTATAAGTTGATTAGGAGAGGTAGTATTTCACAAAGGATTTTGATAGCAATTATATTCATCAGAATGGCAAAATGATGATAAAAGTTTATTTACAAGATTCCACATAACTGATTTACAGATATTTACAGCTCTCTGTCCGATTGATCCACAAGGATCATTGAAATATTCTGATAGAATAAAAATAGATAATGAAAATCAAAGAGTAGATATTGAAGAAAATATTAATAATTATTATGATGAATAAGAAGTAAATCATGTTAATATATGGGATGATTAGTGATTTTAATTGTGTAATTAAATTGAAAGGTTTTTTTTATAATCATTTAATAAATATACAGTAACTTTTATAATTAATATTTACATTTTAAAAGTTTATTTTTAATTAAAATATCAAGTAAAATAAATATAATCATAAAAAATATTTTTAAATGGTTATTTTGATTAGTATCAGAGTATTTTTTAAAAAGATCAGCATTTGCAATTAAATAGTATCTTGATACTAATTAAGGAAAGTACTTTTATTGGAAAATACTTTATGCAGTACTATACGGTAGTTATGGAAAATAAGTATTCTTTAAAAGTTCTTAAAATTTTTTAAAATAAATTTATTAACTTTCTTTCTTTTTTTAAGAATAGATCTTTCATTTTTTTTTCAGATAGAAGATAAATCTTTTTTGAGATTTTTGGGATTTTTTTTTTAAGAGTAGATTTTATTCTTTTTACTAAAGATGGTGTTGCAATTACAGTCAACTCTTGATATAGCGAACTCTTGATATAATGATTTTTTAAACAAATATAATAAAAATACTCTTGTTATAGCGAATTGGCCAATCAAATCTTTTAAAATCTTCACTATAACCTTATAGCAAAGTTGAGGTCTAGGACATAGAATTTGTTATAATAAAAGTTAACTGTAGTTGCAACCATGTGATACTTATTTGTCACCAGTTGCAACTAGTTGCAACTCAATTTTTATTAATGTTACAACTAGTTGCAACCTTGTGATGCTTATTTGTCATCAATTGCAACCAGTTGCAGCACCATCTTTACTTTTTACTAATTTTCTTTTTTTTTTAAAAGTAGATATGAATTTTTATATACTAAATAGTGTTTTAAGCATTCTTCCTATATAATATTTCTAATATAAATATAATATTTTTTATTATTTATTTTTTGTTTTCTTATCAATCCATTTAAATTACTTCTAATAGAATTAATTTTAAAATTTATGGATTAGCAATTCATAAAAGTTTTTGAAAAAAAAAAAGTTATACTTTTTTAAAATAAAGTGTTTTAAAGAATTTTTTTCTTTTTTAATAAATAAAAAAAAAATAAATAAAAAAAGATTAAAAAAAGAAAAAATATTCTTAAATGATCTTAAATAACATTATTTTTATTATATTATATTTTTTGAAAAAATTATATAATTTTAAAATAATCAATCAAAATTGACTGTTAATACTAATTATAAATTTACCTTTATAATTCTAAAACTTATAATTTACTAACTATAAATTTACCTTTATAATTCTAAAACTTATAATTTACTAACTATAAATTTATCTTTATAACTTCAAAACTTTATAACTTACTAATTATAAATTTACCTTTATAATTTTAAAACTTATATAATTTATTAATAAATATACTTCTGAACTCTAATATATTATAGTTAAAATATTATTTTATTTCTAAAACTTTTAAATTTAATTTTAAAATTCTAGAATTTTAGAAATTTACAAATTTAGCTAGTAGTTTTAAATTTTATTTAAATATTACTTTAATTATTTTAATTAGTTTGTATTATACTTATAATTTAAATTTTTTTAATTTTTAACTTATTTAACTTTATATATTATTTAAATAAACATATAATCTAATATTATTATGAAGTTTTACTTTTTTATTATAATAAAATTATTTTTTTTTATCTTTTTAAATAATTAAAATGATTTTAATAGTATTTGAATTATAATAGAATTATTTTTTTTTATCTTTTTAAATAACTAAAATGATTTTAATAATATCTGAATTCATAAATTTTTTAAAAAACTTAAAATCTAATCTAAAAATTATGTAATATAAAGATTAAAATAATATTTTTTTTATTATATTAAAAAAACTTCTAATTAATCTATATTCTAATTAGAAGCATAAGATTGCATTTTTCCTTAAATGATAATAGTAATAATTTTAATCAGTTTGTATTTTAATTTATAAGTATCAATTTGTATTTTAAGTTTTATTTTTGTGAATTTTATTTTTTTCTTGAAGTTTTTATTTATTACTAATTTCTATTATACTATTTTACAAATATTTAATTATCATACTTCTTGTAATATATGAATTTTAAATATTTAAATAAAAGTTACTAGTCTATTAAAAAAAACTTAATATTAGTAATTAAACCTTTTTGAAAGATTTATATTTATTTAATATTTAATATTTTAATAAAATTTTTTTATTAAAAAATAATTTTAAAAAATTATTTATAAAATAATGATTATTTATTTATTTTTATATTTATTTATAGAAATATTTTAAAAAAATTATTTATTTTTATTTAATTTTAATAGGTATTAAATAGCAGTAATTAATAATAAATTACTTGTTACAGAAATTTACTATATAATGCTATCTATTTATAATTTAAAAGATTTTTTTGTTCTTATAAAATCAGTCTGCTTATATGAAGAAAGAATTAATTTAATAATATTATTATAAAGTAAAAACTTATATTAATGTTTTAAAAGATAATTTTAGATTTAAATATACTTTTTTTTTGAAATAATATTTATTATTAATTAAATATTAATTGCTATTATTATTTATTTTTTATTTATTTTAGAAATAATAATAAATTATTATATAAAAGATAATGTTTTCCTAAAAGTTTATATATTTTTTACATGTTAAATAATCATTTTTTTTTAACTATTAAATAATAAATCATAAATTAAAAATAATAAAAAAATTTTTTTAATTTCAAAATTTTGAAAAATAAATAAAATAATTTCCTTCTTATATTTAAAAAAATTTGTTTATTTTTAATTTCTTCTTTTTTGAGGTATTAGCTATTTGTAAGATTTTCATTTATATATTATGAAATTATGAAAATCCAATTAAATATTAAATTAGATTTTATTTGTAAAATCATATTAAAAAAAAAAAAAGTTTTTTATTTAAATGATAAGAATTTTTTATTCAAATTAAAAATAATCTTCAAAGCTTATAAATATATATTAGAATATATAAGTAAATTTAAAGGCAAAACCATTGAAAGGATAATATTAATATTATCAATTATTTTAAGAATAAGATTTTTATCTAATCAAAAGCAATTTAAATGCATCAGAATTTCTTTCTCAAAGAATATCAAGTGTAATTTTTTAATATATAAGCGAAACAGCTGCAATTGATGTTGTTTTACTACTTCGGATCGAGTTGTTCAAAATGTTCATTTAATAAATCTGTTTTAAACTTTAAACTTATAAGGTGGTTTTTATTAAAATAATATCCTTAAGATCCCAAAGTTGTAATTGGCCACCTTGGTAAGTGGTCAATGATATATTCATCCACTAACCCTATACGAAAACGTTCCACGCCTGCCCACGCAACCATAACGCCATTATCAGTGCATAGGTGTGGTGGCGGGCAAATTAATGGAATGTTATATCGCTCGGTTGCCAATGATTCCAAACTAAAAAATATATCACGTAAATTGTCATCTCAATGTATTTAAAAGAATACCTTTATTTTTTTTTAAAAAAAAAAAATACAATACCTTGAACGAATACTTTTGTTACTTGCTACGCCTCCACTCACAACTAAGGCTGTTAGAATTATGTCCTTTTCCCTACACCATCGGAAAGCCAATTCTAATTTATCTGTTAAATGAGTTATAGCTGTTTTCTGAAAAACCGATGCTAAATCTCTTTTTACGATCTCATCGTCTAAATCTAAGTCATGATTTTTAATCAACGTACTTATTGATGTTTTTAACCCACTGAAACTTAAATCCATCGCTTCTTTTCTATGTTTGTCTTTTGTCATTGGTATTGGAACTTTATATTTCTTGGGGTCTCCTTTTTCAGCAACTCGTTCTAAAGCAGCACCAGGTCCACCTCCACGACCTTTCAACCAAGGTAGTTTAAGTAAACGAGAAATTTTATCATACGCTTCCCCAATTGAATCATCTACGGTTGTTCCAAGTTGAGTATAATGATTAACACCATGTGCTACCAATATAAGAGTGTGTCCACCTGATATTAAAAGTGTTAAGAAAGGAAAAGGTACAGGAGTTGGTTGAGTGAGACGTGCTGTAAGTGCATGAGCTTCCTAAAACAGATAGACACGTTTTGATGTTTAAGGTTATAGATAGCTAAAAGAAGATGAATTATTTTATCTCTTTCATAAATCATAAATTGATGACTGACGTTATAAATTAATTGAAAATACATACCATATGATGAACGCCTATTAATGGTTTTCTACAAATGAAATAAACAAGGAAAGATAAGAGAACTTTCATTTCCCTTTATTTTATTATTTGTTTTTGTACTTACCGAAGTGCGGCAGCCAAAGCCTTTCCGGCACTCAATCCATTTCCTAGACAAGCAGGAAGTCCCGGACCTCTTGTAACTGCAACAACATCAATATCCCTTGCGATATCCATGTTTGCTTTATCCAAAGCCTCACGTATCACAAGCGGTAAATGTTGTTGATGACTTGACATGGCCAAATTTGGAACAACACCTCCATATGGTTCGTGTAATTGTTGCTGAAGATGGATAGCCTCGCTTATAATTTGACGATCTGAATTCACAATTGCGACTCCTGTATCGTCACAAGAAGTTTCAATTCCGAGAACTGTAAAAGGTGATTTTGTAACAGGGCTAAGTATGGAATAATTTCTAGACCAACGAAGTCTGTAAATATTATTCCGTACGTGTTTAAGCATCATGATGTTTAAAAAACGATTTTTGATTTAATGCTATCGTTTTATTGGATGATAATTTTTTTGGGGGTTTGACTAGATTATCAACGTCTGAACACTAAGGAAATCATTAATATTATAATTATGACAACTCTTGCGAAGGTATTTACACATAAATCAACTTCACCGGCCATTATCATTCCAAATAGTGGGGTAGAACTCTCGTACTCTCAGTTATTTAAACAAATCAATTCACTTCAACAACAACTTATTGAAAAATGTAATATAGGATCACAAGAAGTTATTGCAATTGTATTACCAAATTCGTTAGAATTTACGGTTGCATTTTTAGCAATTACGTTGTTTCGAAATATAGCGGCACCGTTAAATCCAAATTATGCAGAAGATGAATTTAAATTTTACATAGAGGATTCCAAAAGTAAAGTGATGATTGTACCACAAGGTTGGGTACAACAAAATAAACCTGCCGTAAAGGCCGCTAAAGCTTTTAATGCAGTAATTTTTGAAATAGCATGGGATAATCATAACCAACAAATTAATTTGGGAGTTCAGAGTGGAAAGGCGATAGGGGGAAAGTTTAAAGAGCGAGATCCTTATCATACCGATGTCGCCCTCTTGTTACATACATCCGGAACGACCGGACGTCCCAAAGGTGAATTAATATTCAAAATAAATAAGGATCATTCACCACCTCAATAATAATCATAATCTTCAATTTACGAATTTTAGGTGTCCCACTTACTCATCATAATATCATAACCACCATGAGTAATATAATTCGCACATATAATTTGGTTCCAAGCGATCGCACTTTATTAGTAATGCCACTTTTCCATGTTCATGGTTTAATAGGTGGAATGCTATCCACTTTGTTATCTGGAGGGACAGTCGTAATTCAGCCTAGATTCTCTGCGACTGATTTTTGGAAACACTTTTTACAATATGAATGTACTTGGTACACTGCTGGTAAGAGAAAAACTTAATAATAAGTTAAAGAGAACTTTAACGGATTCTAACGAATGATTAAATCATTATATAAAGTGCCAACAATCCATCAAATTTTATTACGCCATCCTCCTCCAAACGGAGGAGCCCCTAAATTACGTTTCATTCGTTCATGCTCATCATCACTTGCACCGAGCACTCTAAGTGAACTTGAAAAAATATATCAAGCACCTGTATTGGAGGCTTACGCCATGACCGAAGCAGCACATCAAATGACCTCCAATCCATTACCACCCTTACCGCATAAACCTGGATCGGTTGGGTTTGGTCAAGGAGTTCAAGTAACAATCTTGGATCAAAATGGAAATCCAACTGAAGAAGGCGAAGTTTGTATTAAAGGCGCAAATGTAACATCAGGGTATCTTAATAATCAATCAGCTAATGAATCATCATTTACAAAAGATGGTTGGTTTAGAACAGGTGATCAAGGTAAATTTGATAAAGATGGATACTTATTTTTAACGGGACGTATTAAAGAATTGATTAATCGTGGAGGAGAAAAAATTTCTCCTTTGGAGATTGATTCGGTTCTTTTATCACATCCTTCAGTTGCTGAAGCTGTTTCTTTTGCTGTACCTGATGAAATGTATGGACAAGAAGTTCATGCTACCGTGATTTTGAAAAAGGAACAACCAATCAGTGAAAAAGAATTACAAGATTATTGTGGAAAACAACTTGTTAAATTTAAGGTACCAAAGAAAATTTACTTTACTGACGTTATGCCTAAAACTGCTACCGGTAAAATTCAAAGAAAGAATATTAGTGAAAAGTTCTTTAAACCTGACAAGGCTAAAGCAAGATTGTAATGCTCAATGCAAATTTATTTATGTATTATAGTAACTAAATTATTGTAATCAATATTAAATGAATCATAAATAAATAATATTTTATTATTGCAAGTTTGGATTTTTGACCTATTGATAATTTAAAAGTCATGAAATCAAGTTAAGCGGATTCCGCTGTGAAAAATGCACTTAATAAATCATCCCGAGTACATTCACTTTCTACCAATCTTTTGTCAGTTTCAGCATTTTCGGTCCATTTGATCAAGGTTGGAATGGATTTTAGTTGAATTCTTGGATGAAGCCTGTAAGGATTATCAGGTCTCCCTCTATATCTATTTTTTATTTATTTATTTTTTTATATTATTAATTAAAATAATTTCTAAAGACTTGGAACCGCTCCAAATGACTTACTCTGCTCTCGTTCCGACAGGAACTTCAATTAACACGGAATCAGCAGTTGTTTTTTCAAGATGATGACGGATAAGAGGATCAGCTGGAGGTTACATAGATTGGATAATTTAAATAAGATGCAATGTAAATGTTTTTATGTTTTAAAGCTTGAATTGTAGAATATATAATTGTGAAAATTTTACCGTTTACGCAATCTGGACACCACGATTTTCCAGTATTGGGATTCTCATTGCCTTTTAGTATGATGCATTTATTATTTATAGATAAATGTAACACGAGAATTATTCTTGCAATTTTTACATACCGAATAGGACAACAAATATGTTTTGCCCTTTGCGTTCTTGAACAATTCTATTGACGATTTTGTCGAATTCATTAAAAGCCGAAATTCGCATAATTTGTACCATTTTGTTTTAAAACGTACGAGGAGTGGGTAAAAACTTAAAGCAAGGGCTGGTTATATATTAGAATTAGGGGATTTGCAAAACAAATTACAAATAGGAATCATGCGATCCAGTTTTTTCTTAATTTAAAATTCTTCCTTATTAGGATAGTTAAGTTTACACTTCAAGTATTAAAATATACTACAAAATATTCACGTGTACATAGATTCTATGAAATTCTATTCTTTTTAGCTTAAATTAGCCCGATTCACAAAGCACGCTATTATAATGTAGCTTTGAGCCGTCTGTGCTTCCAATCTATTTCTCGATGCTTGCCTATAATATTCGAAAAAAGCCTGTTGATAGAAGTAACCTCGCAATTGGATGCTCTCGTGTTGCCGGAACTACCACTAAAGTATTTGGCATTAATTAATTGATCGGTAAATGCCTTGTGATTTTTAAATACTGTGAGAACACACTGCGTTTTGGATCTATATATGAAGAAAGAACTGCACGTTCTATCGGTTCCAAAAGAATCAACATATCCCTTTTTAAAATATATTAGTTATCGGTCAATTAAAGAGAATAAAAAAAAAAAATTTTTTTAAAATCTGACTATTAACTATTGGTTTTAATCCTTGTGAACTTTATTTGCCTTTTTCGCTTCAAAATGATTGGATAAAAAATACTTAAAAAGAGAATTCATTCTTCTCATTTCATTATCACTTTTTCAAATCGCATTTATTTTTCTTTTAACTTCTCTACAAAATAGAAAATTAATATACTTGCTTGAGGCAAGTTTTTTTTTTTATACATTCTTTACTATCAATTTTTTTTATATCAAATCATCCGACTACATTCTTTCTTTATCCTTTTTTTTACGTAAAGAAAAATAATATAAATGCATTCTATCTTTATTTCTTCCATATTGTTATTATGTTCTGCATTATTCGCTTCAGCTGATTATGGTGTATCTAGTCCTCCTGCTGGAGAAATCTTTAACATTGGAGATAAACTTGAAATAAAATGGACAGTGGGAAATATCGTAGAACCTTCTGTAGATGTTAAATTGGTTCATGGTCCCGCCGAAAATTTACAATTGTTTAGAAAGTTATGTACACTTGATCCAAAAGAAGGAACATGTACAACTATTATCGACGAAAGTATTCCTTCTGGAATTGATTATGCCATTATCGTGGCTGGAAAAGAAACTGGTTTTTCAAGCTACTGTAAGACATATGTTTTATTTTAATCAATTTTTTTTTTTTTTTTTTCATACGTTATATCCCTTTTTAATCACAATCGTTAATTCTTTCTTTTTAGTTACTATTATAGCTAAAGGTCCTCTTCCTGAAAATAAGGGATGTCCAAAAATGGGTGGTAAGGATTGTCCTGAAAATCTCCCTTGTTGTAGTGCATCCGGTTTTTGTGGTGCTACTGAGGGACATTGTGGAACCGGCTGCGATCCGAAACATAGCTTTAATGGAAAATGTCAACTACCAGGGACATCTCAAAAAGAACCAGTTAAAGAACCAGTTAAAGAACCCGAACCACCATCAAACTCTATAAATAAATGTGGTGATGTCATCTGCACTGCCGAATTTCCTTGCTGTAGTGAATTCAACTTTTGCGGTTCTACTCCTGACCATTGCGGTAATGGTTGTCAAGCCGGTAAAAGTTTTAATGGAGTTTGTATCACAAAAGAAGATAATCTTGTCAAACAAAAAACTTCTTTAAGATCCTCTGTAGCTGTAAAGTGTGGAAAAGAGATATGTAATTCCTTGGCACCATGCTGTAGCGAAAAGAATGTTTGCGGTAATTTAATTCAAAGATTTTTTTTATTGTTATAATGAATTGGTCAAGACAAATATTAATTCATTTATGTCTTTTCATTACAGGTGCAACCTTCAAACACTGCGGGAAAGGTTGCCAAGTCAAAAAGAGCTTGAATAAAAAATGCAGAAAGTAAACAACAAACAAGAATAAAATTTCAACAAACCTCTTTGATAAAAAAAATTCCCTTTCCACCATTTTCATCTCGCCGAACCTTTCAATCCCTACACAAATTTCAGCGCATCAAATGAAATTATTTTAACCTGGTTTATATTTTTAAAAAAAAGATTATAATGTAAATATCACGTGATATGCATTTGCCAATCGTTAATTAGATTTATAAGCTCTTATTTTTTATTGATAAAAGTTTCTATAATTTTTTTTCTAAACCAATCCAAATTTTAGTCACAATTACCTTTTATATATCTCTAAAAGAATCTAATAAATTTAATTGCAGTAAAATAAATATAAGTTATAAATGATTCAAATAATTATAAGTTTATAATAAAATTAATTAAAAAATAAAAAATAATTAAGCTATTTATAATTTATATAAAATTACAAATAATTTAAATTAGATTAAAAATATATTTAACTATCATAAAGTAGAATATTTTTATTTCATATCAGGAATACCAGTATCTTCCTCTAATAATATGCTAACGTCTAACCCTAACTAACCCTAATCAACTCTAACCAATAGTTAGTATTTGATCATAACCAAGCTTAATTTGTTGGCTGTTGGCCAATTTAGCCAATTGGCTAAAATTAGCACTAATCAGTTAAATCAGCCATATGTCACATGACTTTATTAATTTTGGCTTTATTTTATTTGCAAATTGCAATTTATTGTAAAATTGCAAAAAATTTGATAGCTTTAACATTTAAAGTTTTGCAAAATTACAAAAAATTAATGCTACTAATATTTGGAATGTTAAAATTCTTGCAAAATAGAGTATTCTAAATGTTAGAAATATCAATTTTTGTAATTTTATAATTTTGCAAAAATTTTAACATTCTGAATATCAGAAACGTTAAATTTTAATGTAATTAACCAATTATGTTTTTATTTCTTTTGTAAGCTATTATATAAAAAGATTTTTGGCTAAATAAAATTTAAAATAAAATTTGGCTATTTTAATCACAACCAAACAGCTAAAAAATTATAGTCAAATATCAGCCAAATGGTCAAATGTTAATACTGCTCTAACCTAGAATTTACAGATTCATATATTTACATAAATTTATATTTATATACTATAACAGTCGGTATGCATGTTCAATTTACATGTCGATCATAATTAAAAATTCTTGTGTAATATTCGTCTAGATATTTCATTAAAGTTCTTTCATTCTAAATCACAATATAATCGGTTTTTATTCTTAATATAATTTTTTCAACAGCACTTCTTCTATCAAAATAACTAAAAGTTTGGCCTTTTCTGCTTTCCTGCGAAATTTTATTTTATCAGCAATTTTACCTATTTTTGACATTAAAATCTGAGATTCTTTTGTTACTAACTTTTAAATAAAAAAAAAGTACTTAGCAATCTTTATTTTTAGCAAATCTTTTAATGTAATCACTTTAAGAAACCAAATGCAATAGAACTTTTTACGAAAAATGCCATTTATTTTTTATATAATGAAACTTTAAAGAATTTTTGATTTTATTTAAGGTAAAATTATTAAATTTATTCATAGTTATTGTTTTTATTATGCTTATGACGAGATATATATTGATTAATCTGATTCTTATCCCATTCATTTCCCAATGCTTCTCCAATCTGATTTATTTGATCACTAGTTGAATATTCAAAACAAGTCACCAATAGTTCTAAAAACTCTTTTTCTTCAAGTTTAGTTTCACGACGAGTTTGCCTTTGTTTCTTCTTTGGTGGTCCATCTTGATCTACTATATTCGTTGAATCAGTTGGTGTCCGTTTGTCTGAAATAGCTTGATGAGAATTTTCTGTATTTGATTGTGATGTTGATGCAACAGTAGCTATAACTTTTTTCTTTTTTAAATTTTGATCATTAGGTTTTCATCTCGTAATTCCTAGCTTTCTCCTTCCAACTTTATTACTTTTTTATATTGAAATGATGTCTTGTAAGAAAATTGCTTTTATTCTTGAGATTCCATCAGGGAAATAATTACTAAGACATGTAACACCACTTGCTGTAAGTTGATTAGGAGAGGTAGTATTTCACAAAGGATTTTGATAGCAATTATATTCATCAGAATAGTAAAATGATGACAAAAGTTCATTTACAAGATTTTACATAACTGATTTACAGGTATTTACAGCTTTCTGTCCGATTGATCCACAAGGATCATTGAGATATTCTGATAATAATATTTCTATACAATCTCATTCACTTTGAGCAGCTTTAACTTGTAACTTTAAATTATTGACATCAATTACATTTCCAGTAATGTTCTGTTTAATAAACTTAACGCCGAATGTCTCTAGTGCTTCATCAAAAGCAAAATAGTGACTTTTTCGTTTCTCGTCATCATCAATTTTAACTGATAATACACATTCTAATTTTTCTTCGAGTTTAGGATACTGAGCTGGTATTTTGCAACAGATACTGAATAATTTGATTTTCCTGCTGATGTAAATAATTCTGCAAAACAAGCCAGAGCATTTTTTTGTAATTTATAATTACCAACATGAATTCTAATATGATAAGCTTTGAAGATTAATGTCCATTTATAATAAAGATACCATATTCACAAAACACTATTAGCACCACTATTTACATCTATAATATTATCTTTATTGAGTTTGTTTTTTTTATGTAAATGTGAATAGCAATAGCTACTGCACACTATATTAATTCTAAGACACAAACTGTGGGATAATCTACAACTTTATCAAGTTTATCTAAAAATTTAACTTCTAATGCTTTTGTAAGATCAAAAATTCCATAGCTTGAAAATAATACAATTAGAACTTCACACATATCCTTCGATGTATGCCATTGGCTAAGAATAGATCACAGATTTGGCCATTGTTCTCGTTGTTTGATTAACCTTCTAAAGATTGGTGAATTGTTGTTATATCAAAATCGGTATTATAGGTAATTCGATTTTCAGTATTAGTTTGAAAATTCAAAAGGTCATCAATATTTTTATCGAACATATCCCATGTATCTTTTATCTGATCGTTCATTCTAAAAAGACCTGATGAAGAAATAATTTTTTTCTCATCACATGCTTTTTCTTCTAAAGGAATTAGCATTCACATTTGAAATGCCATTCTAAGTGTTGTATGAGAGCTTCTGCGTGTTATATCGAAAATATTCCCGTAAGTAAAAGTTTTTTCTTTAAAATCAATGTTATCAATAATGGCCAAATTCCACACATTTAATCCTTTTAATAATCTTTCAGTTGGATTAACTTTAGCCATCCGTTGTTTTTCTACTCGGTGTTTATGACTATCAGTATGTCCACTTATATGAAGAGTGGATAAGAGTTTTCTGAATGATAGAAAAAACCGTGATTTTCAGAACATACTTGCCATTACTTGTGTGAACCAAATACCGAGATAAAAAAATGCCATACTTGTGATAAGTGAAACCATAAATGTTACACATTTAATAATATGTTCTTTATCTAATTGTTTTAAAGGTTTGTCACGTTGTTTTCGTTTAAAATTCAAAATTGCTAATTTTTTTTTAAAAATTTCACCAATAATTCCATCAAAAAATCCTGTTAAAAATTTTGGAAAACTTGCATAATATGTATAAAGAGAGGTTGGTAATTGTATTTTCTGCTTATTTGCTATAATAATTTTACGCGTATTCCATACTTCATTTCCTAATTTTTTTCCAATTTCTTTCCATTTTTCAGCTGTCCAGTCTAATTTTAGATGTATAACTTCGACTATATGATTAATATTAAATAATAATCTTAAAAAGAAATAACTAGGTAATCTTGATAAAATTGTAATTATTTATGAATCTTTTTTATTGACGCACTCATCAAGATTTGAATAACATGTATTGTCTCTAAGATTATAATATTCATAGTTTAAAGGAAAAGATTCAGATGAGACAAATAAAAAATTTAAAGCCGGAACCAACATAGAAGCTAAAATATTTTTTTTTTCTTCTGTTTCATTACATGCTACATGTTTGAGCCATTGAGTTAATAATTCTAAACTTTTAGATGTATCATCATTATGTAGTTCACGTTGTTCACAAGTAACTATTCGCTTGCCAGGTCTAGGTCGATGATTTAAATGCCCACCATAAAGTTCATAACAATTGTAACAAATATATCGAGTTGTTGTAACTTCATCGAAAATTTGTTTGAAAACACCCCAGCATTCATGTATTGCATTACATGTAAAAAGACCAATACATGGGACTTGAATGTTTTTACCCCATATATTCCACAGATGATTTTACACCCAACTTCACGACTAAAAAAATAAAAATCTTTATGACAAAATAAACAGCGTCAGCAGCAAATCCTACTTTGTTCAGGCCCTCGTAACTGCTTTGCAAATGTTTTATGATTCTTTTGATCATAATTAAAATGCTTCATACATACTCCCAATGATATTCCTTTTGATTGAAACTCTGATACTACATTTTCATCAATTTGCCAGGTTCTAACTAATTAACATATATTTTTAAGATTTGTAATTTGACCACATGTTTGTAATTCATTATCTATATAATCAATTAAAACACATGTGTATTTACAGCAGGGTCAAGGTTATATACAGCTTCTTCAACAGGTACTGATGGAGTAACAGATGTTGATGGAGATGAAGAAGTAACGGATGTTAATGGAAATGAAGGAGTAATAGATGTTGATGAAGGTAAAGGAGTAATAGATGTTGATAGAGGTAAAGGAACAATAGATGTTAATGGAAGTGGAAGAAAAACTTGGTCTTCAAAATCTGTTTCAAAACCATTATCATTATCACTTGCAGCTTCTTGTTCAAATATTGATTTCGCATTATTATAGTTTTCTTGGTTAAATTCAAATATTTCTAAGTTAAGAAGTTCATTATATGCTTGTTCATCAAAAGGCTAACTTGTGTTAATAATATTAGTCGGTTCATAAAACTGAGTAGCTGAGGTTGTACTAAAATTCTTTTAACTATCGGAATATAAAGGGACTTTTCTTTTAAAGCCAAATTTTCTTCCATATTAAATTAAGTCATAAACTGAATTTTGTGTTAACTTTAACACTGAGATTCTTGTAAAAAAAAAAAAACAGTAAGTATAAAAGATAAAATTGTATAAATTTACTTTTGAACTGTAAGCTAAGCCACTTTACATCATGTATTACATATATAACATTCCTTAATGCATATAAGGAAAAGTTGGCAAAATTGGCGTTTTTCTATATAATTTTAAATTTTCTATTATAAATGCACCTTGCAGATCCTATAGTTAAAAATGTTACATAACGTGATCAGTGGACATGCTTACCGACTGTTAATATTTATTTTATAAAAAATAAATTATAATTAATATAATTATAATAAAAATAATATAAAAATATTTAAAAACTATAACAAAATTATTTAATTTAAAAGTTTATTTTTTTTAAATTAAAATATAAAAATTAATATTCTTATAAAAAAAATTAAAATAACATAAATATTTACTATTAATTTTAATAATAATTCATAAACAATATTAAGCAGAAACAAAAACTTAAAATTTTTAATAATTGGAAAATATAACTATTTTGTTTTACTAATACTATAAACTATTACTATAATAGCTTTATAATATATATAATAATAGCAGATATTTATAATATACATACAATTTTTGGGATTGGCGTTCCTAGTTCAGTTGGCAACAACTGAGCTCCTATTGTGGGTTACACTGCAATAGCCACAGATTCAAGTCTCAGCCGAGGCATAAAACTAGATGATTTTTATAAGAATTTCATATGTAACTGAATATGTGGGCGTATATACTAATATGCGTTAGAAACTGGTCGATCGACCTGTCGA